GGACTCCGGGCGGCTTACAAAAGAAGAAAAAGAGAAAGAAAAAAATAAGAAAAAAGACAGTTTAAAAACACAAAACCACATGCATTCATTCTAACTGGGGCTGGACCTCAACAATGAGGTCAAGAGCCCCACGCCTGCCGGAACAGCCAGGTTTTTACAACATTTGCCAAGGTTGTTAAGTGAATCACAGTAATTGTTCAGTAAATCATGAGATCATTAAGCAAATAAGTCTTCCCCCATTGACTTTGCTGGTTGGAAGTTGTCTGGGAACATTGCCAATAACAATCATATCCCCAGGATGCAACCATTGTACATACATGCCATTTCCCAGCGCAGAAGGGGGCTGCTGGGGGTTTGCATGGGTTCGGGCAATCCACTAGCTAGGATTCTGCCCAGTTCGGAGAGAAACCCCCAAATGCCACCCCTGGCTGACCCCTTCCACCCCGCCCCTCCCAGGAGTCTCCACGCCAGGGGCGGGGTCCAGCTTCTTCTACTGCCAATTCACTCAGGTATGCCTTTTGGGCATGTGTGCAATTTGCGCACGCACAGGCACCTATGCGCAGTAGGTAAAAAAAGTAAAAAACATGATGGCAGCACCTATGGTGTTGCCGATAGAACCGGTTCGGGGGCATGGCCAGTTGAGTCACTACCTACTCGTCCAAACCGGCCCAAATTGGGAGGAACCCACTTTTGCTGCCACGGTCCGTTCATCATGCCAGGTAAGTGCAGGATCCCCACAGAGACTCGGGGAGGGGGGAAAGCAGGCCTACTGGAGATTCTGGAAGTCCAGAAATGTGGCTGTTTCCAGCCTCTGGAGGGTCTCTGGAGCCCGGGGGAAGCAATTTTGGCCTTTCCAGACACTCGAAGAAAACCTCTGGAGCCTGGGAAGGGCAACACCCCCCCCCTTCCCGCTGTGGTGCAGGAGGCCAGCTAGGCCATGCCCACCACGGTCACGCCCACACAGCAACGGGGCAGAGAACCCCTTGCTAAAAATTTTGAAGCCCACCCCTGACCCAGGGCCCAAATTTTGATCACAAGTCTATGGGAATGCCGCAGTGGTTGTCAGTGTGAAAACTGGTTGTAAGTCACTTTTTTTTTTTAAATGATGTTGTAACATTGAATGGCCACAAAACAAGTGGTTGTAAGTTGAGGGCAACCTGTGTATCCTCCTAGTTCTGAATCTATGTTCCCTTGCAAAAGTTTGCTCTATACCCGTGATGGCGAACCTATGGCATGTGGCACCCAGAGCCATTTGTTAGGGCACACGAGGCACATGAGGCATTGTCCTGTCAGCTCCAGTGCGCATGTGCGCGCTGGCCAGATGACTTTGGCTTTCTTTTGAGGCCGTTTTTTCGCCCTCCGGAGGCTTCCTTGAAGTGCAGAAAAACGGCGCTACGGGCAAACCGGAAGTTCGGGAACGGACTTCTGGTTTGCTTGTAGGTCCATTTTTCACCCTCTGGAGCCTTCAGGGAAGCTTTATGAAGGCTACAGAGGTCGAAAATCGGCCCTATGGACAAACTGGAAGTCGCCATTCCTGAACTTCCGGGTTCCGTTTTTCGCCTTCAGTAGGCTTCAAGGAAGCTCCTGAAGCCTCCGGAGGGCCTCTTGGGGTGGGCCTTTTTTTGCCCTCCCCAGGCTCCTAGAAAGCCTCTGGAGCCTGGGGAGGGTGAAAAAACTGCTCCAAAAATGTGGGGAGGGGTCATGCTAGTGATGTACGCATGCGTGCACAGTGAGGCAGCACACACATAGCATTATGGGTGTGGCACACCTGCACACGACCCCCCCTGCACTCCTCCAGCTTTTGGCACAGGAGCCAAAAAAAGGTTAGCCATCACTGTTCTATACTATGTTCCTTATCCCCTTGGATCAAACGTTCTAAAAATAATCTGGGGACTGGAGGAAACACAGACTGCAACTGCATTTCCCTCGATTTCATAAAGCAAACAAAGAACACATTGAAAAGGATTTTCAATGACTAATAGAGATTCTAAAACAGGTGCAGAAAACAGGCTTCTTGAATTTTTTTCGGAACCTTTTAGCAGCATTGGCGGCCGCGGCCGTAAAGAGGTGACTCCAGTTTCCCCAGATTATTTTT